CTGTCATCATCACTAATAAGAAAATGGAATATTTGATTCTTTAGCCCTCTGAGATACTGCGGTCCCTGTCTTCACCGAATATGAACAAACACTTCTCCAGAATAATCATATTGGTGTTTAAACTGCTGTCAAATGGGACACACATACTATCTCATTTTAATAATGTAACTCTTTCAAAATCACAAAGTTAATGTCAAACAAAGTGAAGGTATGAAAAAGGTGCCGCCTTTGGGGCAACTGAAATAAGATAATTGACTTGAATTGAAGTGCTGCTCGGTGTGCGTGTGCTGCGGCCACGCCCGCGTGAGGTCTGGGGCGGATGTCACCAAGCAAGTCCCTGGGGCCAGTCCCCTCTGCCCCTGTCTCCACATGACAGTGAGTGTGACTTGGGGCCTGGACCTGGGCTGTGAGACGTCAGGAAGGACCCTGTGTTATACAGACTATGTTTATGTCAGTTACAAGGAACATGAATTGGCACCTTACAATTAGAGATTAGACAAAAATGAGAAGTTCAGCTCTGGACAAATAAGAGGTGGCACCTTCCCCAAATGGGTCATTATGTTCATTCCGAAACTTACACCCCGTGCTATCACAGGTATCTTAATACACCATTCAGAAGGGAGAGGTGATATTCAAATAAACTAATAAACTAATTGAGAAATTAAAAAGTTATCTGTTGGTTCTTTAAGAAATGGAAACTAAGGACATTTAATTAAGTACATTTACTTTTTAATTCATTGAAACATCTTACCCCCTATTTTTTCACCTATATGCCTCAACAACCTATATGCTATCTCTCTTAAGATAAACATATTAAGAGAGAAAAAGTGTTCTCCTAGAGATGAAGAATAACCACCAAAAGTTCATGTAAAGTCAATATTTTCAGGAACTTAAGGTGGGATCTTTCAAATCTTGCCATCTGACACTAGACAATGCAAACTAAAGACCATTGTAAAGATGTGCTAGAGTCCCCGGCTGCCCCTTGTCCCCGGCCTGGAGCCGCATCATCAGCACAACTAAGGAAGAATTGCAGCCAGGCCGCGACCACCACCACACAACTGATTATTAGCCATTAAAAGAGAAATGTTGACTTATTCATGGCAACTCGTTTTCAGAAGGAAAGGCAAAGAGATCTGATGTTAAAGGCTGCCTTTTCTTTCCATCCTAAAGCTGATCAAGATCATTCACTTCTTCCTGAAAGTGTCAAAAGCCCATTTCTCTTTTCCTTTGGCCATTTCAACCAGAATACTGATAAAAAGGGAAGGGCAGTTGCTATGAGGCAGAGAAAAATGTCCTGGCAGTTGAGGGCCCTCCATCTATCAAGGGGCATTTGCAAAGTTGCCTCCCTTCCGTCCTGTGTAGATCTGCAGGATTTTGTGAGACACTTAACCAAAATGGAAGGATTTAAAAACAGAATGCAAGACATAGATGCAATCATTTTTCTAAAAATCACATACTCCAGTTTTGTTTCAGAAATGTCTAGTCTTAAATTCTTAAGCATGCAGCAGTGATGAGCATCAGAGACAAAACTTGTGAGAGGATGATCAGTGCAGATGGCTTCCATGCCTTCACTGTGGCACAGACACCTGAAGGTTCAAAACCCTGACTGGGATCAGGATGAACGGCCTCCCATTACAGGGAAATAGCTCCTTATCTAACTACATAATAATACTCACAAGTTATATTGAGTTGCAAAATAAGTGTCCAGAACACGAAACAATATTTTAATATCTGGAAAGACTATGTGGTTAGATAGTTACTTGTAACTCGGAGGCAATTCATATAGACTATATCCAATATGTATAAGACTTAATATCTTGACTACTTTTTTCTATTGACCCAATGTCAAAATAATATTCTCCTTCCATGTATTTTAGTTCATCTGATGTGAGGAGGCCATAGAGAAACCTTTCTCTAGCAATCCTGGCTCCCCATCCCCTTTCCTCCACTCCTTCAGAAGGAGCAGTTTACATGGAGCAACCCCCTGGAGCTCCCAGGTCCTGACTGTTCTGACTGTTGGAGATAATTTAAAGCCCCAAAGCAGACTTGAGAGGAAGACTGAACCAGCACAAAGACACCCAGGAAGGAGGGGACAATCCCAGAAGCCAGGAACGGGCAGTGCTTTCTAGAAGGAGGAGTTAGAGTTTCCCTGGGATATTCAAAACGCACACTGGGGCCTGGGAGCACTGTTCCCAGGGCAGGGCGGGGAGGCCAGAAGGAGCATTGGGAGGTGATTTCAAACTAGGTCCTCCCCACGGCACAACTGCTGGGTAGGGAATGCATCTCCTCCTGGGGAGCCACATCCTAAGAGTAAAAACAAATATTTGGTGCTAAAGAGCTCTTAAGAACTGAAGAGTGCCGTTTACTTATTTCTACACGTCAGTGTGGGCTTAGGATGTTAAATAGATTAAAAGGCTAAGAGAGGTCAGTCAGTCCAGGAAAGACCCCTCTTTCCCTTCTCCTGACTCAGTTCTCTTTATGAAATTGTTACCTGCCCATGCCACTCTTGCGGAAGGTCTTTTGGAAATGCAAAAGATGGCATATCCTGTCCTAGGACATTCTGGGGAGTGTGGAGTTGGTCCCTGGGGGTGAGAATTCCAGCATAAGAGGCTAATGCAATGATGATTTTAGGAAAAATTGAGAGACATAGAATCATAAAACTTTGAAGTTACCAAATCTGTTCTCTACTCCAGATGAGAAAAATAAGAGGGTCCGATTGGGGAGCTGATAAGAGCTATTTAGGGACAGAGCTGGGATGACAAACCATTCCAAAACCAGAGCAGCTCCTGCCTGACAACGCCTGGAAGTTCAGACCCTGATTTGGGGTCTGTCCTACTGCTTCCCTAGCAAGTGGACAGCCTTTGCCACTGCCCTTCTTCCACCCCTCTCAGCAGGCGGGCTGGAGAGGCTGCCCGGTGTGGAGCTCTAGCCAAAGAGAATTCCACAGGCTCTGGGCAGGTCTGTGACCTGAGCAGCCTCTAGGATGCTGGAGCTTAGGTGCTGGGGCTGGGGCGCAGTGGGCGCCTGGTTTCCAGTTTCAGCCTTTGCCCTGGCCGCTCTGCCCCGCTCTGACCTACCCACTGTTCCTTTCTCCTCCCCATCACAGAAAGGACAACCAAGTCATTTCAATTTAATCTTATTTAAAAAGACATAACTAATAAATCTATTGCTGAGGCCGCGGAGGGACAGCCAGCAGAGTCGATCTTGCTCCCAATCCCATTGAATCCCATTGAAAACCATGACAACTCGGGACAAGCTCTGATTTATCCGGGCGCGCTAAAGTGCATTGTGAGCAGGCGTCAATCACGCATTATTTCGGACTGAACAAATGCAAAATCTTGACTGGAACAAATGCTTCCAACAGGTCCGGGGCGTCGAGCTCCATTTCCCCTTTGTCCGGGGCCTAGCTGTTGGCCCGTATTGGGGTTGCCTCCGAGCGACCACCCAGCGCGCTGCACAGCCCCAGGCGCCTGGGGCACGCTCGACGAGTAAGTAGGCTGCTGGGGAGGGTGCGCCAGGCCCAGCGGCACCGGGGCAACTGCTCCGGAGCCAGGTCCGAGTTCAGCTCAGGTGGACCGAGCCAGCCAAGCACCCTGCCCCTCACTAAATTTAACAAACAAAAACCCAAGCCACTGGCGTGCCGAAGGAGAGACCTGAGAAAATGCACCCGCTGAGTCACACACTGAAACGCGGCCCTGAGGAAACTATGGGCCATCAAAACGCGTGCAATTCCCCCGGCTCCCTGAGCCTTCTACGCGGAGCGTTTCCGTGGATTCGGCTGTGCGGACTAGAGGGTCTCCGGGAAAGCCCAGGCAGGCCGTCTTTTCTGCCCGTCCATTGATCAGGATCGGTCCATTACCTGACTAGGCCCAGCAGCGGCGACCGAGTGAAGAGCCCCGGCTGGAGGCCTGCTCTTGGGCAGAGGCCGCATTCCTGGCACTGGGTCTGATGTTGACGCCGAGGATCCAGGGCGCACAAGTGGCGCCAGAGGGTCTAGCAACGCCAAAGAGACCGCAACACCCTGGTAGACCACCCTGCGAAACGGCGCCGCCCGTGAACTCTAAGTAGGGTCTGGGCTCAGCTCTGAGGAGGGCGCGACGGGCAGCCAACAAGTTTGCCACTTCGAAATAAATTGTTTGGCTGGTATGGATGGGGAAACGCACGCTGAGCTAGGGCTCCCCAGATGCTGCCAGCCCTTCCCCAGCGCCCCCCCCGAAGTTGCGGGGGTCGTTTGGGGTGTGGGGAGTCTCCAAGCGGCCTTCAACACTTTTGGCCCAGATGCCCGTGGGGCCAGGCGACTGCTCTGTGCCCACAGGAATTCTCGCCTCAGTCCTTAGAGGCGCCCAACCAAAAAGAGAACGAGAGCGCGCCCGTTGAGCGCCGCCTTGTAAATAACTTTCCAGATAATTGCGGGAAACAAACACTCTAGCAAACAAGCTCGAGGAATCAGCAGACAGGGAATAAATTCCTGGGTGCTCCTAAACCTACCCATGCCTCTCCCACCCACCCCTGGCGCTCCTGCGGGGCCAGGCCCTGTGTCAGCCAGAGAAGGAGGAAGCTGGGGATGGGCAGGCGGGTGTTGCCTACCGCTCGCCACCCAAGATGTTATTCATCGGGAACAATCCCCATTATCTGTCCACACTTTGCGCTAATCAGACAGAATTGCTAATGCCGAGGGTTGCTTCCTGCTGCCTCTGGGAGGTAACCCGGAGCCGAGGGGCGGAGGACGGGGCGGGGCAGGGGGCGGAGGTGGCACCTTCCGGGCTCGCTGGGACTTTGGTCCTGCACTCATTCAGGTACTTAACACGCTGGGGACCAGGACCTCGCCTTTCAAAGCGTCCTGGGTGGGAAGAACTGTTTATATAGAAAGGGATTTTGCTGTAAGCGCGCTAATATCTCTACAGCCAGCACATGGCGTGCGCCCCTCACGCCCACCAGTAGGAGCGCCGCCGCTTGGTGCACAGCTTGACCTGCCCCTCACCTCCTTCCCCTCCTCTGCCATGACCACCTCTGGACGCCTCAGCTTCACCGTACGCAGCCTCCTGGATTTACCCGAGCAGGACGCCCATCACCTGCGGAGGCGGGAGCCGGAGCTGCGTGCCCCCTGTCCCAGACCCTGTGCCACCTGGCTGGGACCCGAGCGCGGCAGCTACGCGTGTGAGTAAGCGAAGGACGGCGTCGGGAGTGGAGGGGGCGAGTAGAATTCTGCGCCCGGCCCCTGCGGGGGTGGATTGCCCCAGCGTTGGAACCCTGGGCTCTGCCCTCAGAGCCTTACGCCTTGCAGCCCCCGGTAGGCATATCCTGAAAGCAGATCCCTGCGCCTGGAATTGACGCCAGGTACTTGGGCTTCTGTTTCTAAGGACAGGAATGTTTAAATATTTAGGACCGGGCCCTTAAATGCTGAAAACACGGCCACGTTCTCCAGTCCTCGGTGTGGGATGGTAGTATTGGAGAACTTAGCTTTCCTGGACTCAGGGCTTTGCAAACCTCTGCCAACAGTAGTGCAATCGATCCGGAGGTGGCAAGTATTGGTGAGCCAGCTTGCGGTAAATTCATCACCACAAGACCAGTGCGGATTTGTTTTAAGAGGGCCCTGGATGGGTTTCTTTGGGGGGCGCGGTCTCAAGTTGTGGTATAGAAAGGTCACTGAATTCGGAGAGGTGGGTGTCCAGGTGTGGGCCCAGGGAAGGAAATGGCCTCATCTCAAAAGCCGCGGGAGAGTGGTGCTCCCTTCGGCAGGTGGCTGGGCGTCCGCGAGCACGAGAGAAGCAGCCGGCGCACAGAGCGGCCGGCGCCTCACCAGGCCCTGTCTCCTTTGCGGTCCTTAGCCTCGGACGAGAGCAGCCCAGACACCAGCCCGCCCGACTCGTCGCAGCGGCCGCCCGCTCAGCCTGCATCTCCGAGCTCAGACACCGAGAAGAGGAAGAAGCGGCGGGTGCTGTTCTCCAAAGCTCAGACGCTGGAGTTGGAGCGGCGCTTCAGGCAGCAGCGATACTTGTCCGCGCCGGAGCGCGAGCAGCTGGCGCGCCTGCTGCGCCTCACTCCCACGCAGGTCAAAATCTGGTTCCAGAACCACCGCTACAAGTTGAAGCGCACGCGTGCGCCCGGGGCTTCGGAGTCGCCCGACTTGCCAGCTTCCGCAGAGCTGCGCAGCGCACCGGGCTTGCTGCGCCGTGTGGTGGTACCCGTGCTAGTGCGAGACGGGCAGCCGTGCGGGGGCAGCAGCGAAGTGGGCACGGCTGCTGCCCAGGACAAAAACGGCGCGCTCCCAGCCGCCGCCTGCCCTCTGCCCGGCTACGCCGCCTTTGGGCCCGGCTCGGCGCTCGGCCTCTTCCCTGCCTACCAGCACTTAGCGCCCCCCTCCCTGGTCTCTTGGAACTGGTGAGGCAGCTGCGGGGCGAGGGCACTGGGCCTACCCCAGACTTTGCAGTACGCACTGCGGCAGGTGCAGGGGTGGAACAGGGCGCGCTCCCCGGGCTTCACTACCCGGCAAGCCCAATGTCTTTTGGCGCCAAGGTCCCCGGCCCACGTCTCGCAAGCCCGCGCGCAGGGAACTTTCGTCATATTCCCCCGCCCCATCTCCTCATCTCCTCGACGGCCAGCCCCAGAGTTAGATTTTATTGCCTGAACCTTACTTGTATATTTTTAAAATAGCTATTTGTATGGGAAACAACTTATTTTAAAAGAAATAGAGTATTTTTCCTCTACGTGGTGCTAAAATAAAACGTGTAGGATGGGGTCCTCGTGTGCTCCTGCAGGAATGTAGGTGGGATTTCTATGACCAGGTGAATTAAGCCCCACCCTGAGTTGAGTAGGAGTCCTTACAAGGTTTAGGAATATAAACGGGGAGGAGGAGGAGGAAGAGGGAGGAAGCAGAAGCAACTCTGGGGTCCCTGTTAGTTTTCGGTGGTTCTGGCCCGACGGAACGTGGAGGCCGCTTTGGGTTTCCCGAGCTGCTGGAGGTTCAAACACCAGAAGTCAATCCAGTCGGCCAAGACCGAGACAGGGGCCAAGACCGAGATAGGACGTAGGCTTCTCCATGTGGATTCTCTGGAGACCTGCAAGCACTCCAGGCGGCTGGGGGCGGGGGCGAGGGTGGGGTGGGGTGGGGTGGAGTGGGCCGCTTTCCGCGCCGAGCAGGAGCAGCCGCGGCTAGGCTGCTAGCCGTCAGTTTCCGGAGTGTGTCGCCGGTGCCCAGGGCTTCGGAGAGCACCAGGAGACCTTTTAACCCCGCAGTTAAGCCTTCCAGTGCCTGACATGGTAGCTGTGATTTCCTGCCTCTTCTTGGCGCTACACCTGGCGTGGCGAAGTGGTGAAGAAACCAAAGAGTGGTCGGGAATGACCCACCTTAGGGCTGCCAGTTGAAGGAGGACCAGTTTGGAGAGCCCTGGTGGCATGGCATCAATGTAGGGCATGCTGGGACTCATTTCATCGGCAGTCCCCTCGCACACTAGGCTGGGGGAGCTAGTGTTTCACCCCTTACTAACTGCGCTTTGCCTCAGTAGGTGGAACGGCAGAGCCTCTTGCGCAGCGGTCACTCTTTGGAGAGGAAGTGAGGACCTCTCCGCCTGGCACCCACTGCAGGGCATTGAGCAAGGCAAGCAGTTCTGGCACCAGATCCAGAGAAGGGAGCAAAGGCTCAGTGAGGAGTAGCCATTGGGCCTGTTCAGGGCCCCTTTCTTGTTCCAGGAGGAGGAGGAAGGGTGGCTTAGATGGCGTTATCACCTGGGGTTTGGGGGGATGGAAACAGAGGGGGAAGGGAGTGGGTGTTTGGGTCTCAGCTGCTGGCCACCTTGCCTTCCATATGGATGTGGTTATCTTGGAAGAATCTCTATCCTTAAACCTCCTTTTGTCTTGGGAACTGAAAAGGGCATTGTCAGGCCTGAAAAGGACCTAGACAAAATCCGCACTGTTTCGATTCAGGACTCTGTTTAATCAGTCTCTGGTGACAATGTAGTGGGTGTTAGGAACTACAATAGTATCTTTTTAAACCTTGTGGCCTTCAGAAAGACAAAGGGCTCCAAATTTATGGGCTTACAACTTCAATTAGAACAGTGCCAGTGTGCATGGGAGATTATCAAATTTGTATCATAAAACATCTTTCCGATAAATGATTACTGGGGAGAGATCATGGACATTGTAAGACACATATTGGGAAATTGCCCTGGGACTTTCTACTTGGACCTAGCAGAGGAGATGGGAAAGAAAAAGAGGAAAGAATTTCCGAAGAAGGCCTGAGTTGGGACTTGTCCCTTGTCCCTGTGGTCAGCTGGCTGGTTGCTGGATTCCTCCTGCAGGGGTGTTTACTCCAAGAATGGAGGTACAGTAGGTTGTTTCCTGCTATTGGTGACAGAATCGTAAATAAATGTCTTGGGAAGAAAGTGCAAAATGACCGCCTGTTCAGTTTCTTGCATTTTCTTTTCCTGGAGCTCCAGAGAAAGTAGTGCTTACTAAGTAGGCCGTGCAAAGGAGAGAGAGCCTATTAGATAATGAGGCCCATAGGACTATGGAGAGAAGCTCTTCCCAGTAGGTTGTATGGGAGAGTATGTCCTCAACCAAATCCGCCCAGAGGTCTAACCAATAACAAGCCATTTGTCTGCTTCCCAGCAAGGTGGTCAGAACACAGCAGAATGCCCAGAGCAAGCCTGTCTGTCCTGGGCAGGAGGAGGGCAGCAATTTCCTATAACATTAGCATCAGGAGCCATAAGGTGTAATCTGTTACCTGATTTCTTTCTCTCTCTCTCTTTTTTAGACCCTTTCTTGTAGAGAGAGAGAGAAGCCATAAATGGGAGTTAAAATTAAAATGCACTCCAGCCCTGGCCGGGATGGCTCAGTGGAATGAGCGCCAGTCCGCACTCTGGAGAATGCCCGTTGATTCCCGGTCAGGGCAGGTGCCTGGGTTGCAGGCCAGGCCTCCAGTTGGGGGTGTGAGAGGCAGCCCCACAGATTGATCAGATGAATCTCTCCCACATCCACACATAGATCTTCCTCTCCCTCCCTCTCTCTCTAAAGGTAAACAAATAAAATCTTAAAAAAAATACACTCCCATCATTACTGACCCATTTTAGAGACTCAGGCTGTCATTTTCTTCTGTTTGCACCTGTGATGAGCAGAAAAGATAACTGTCAGTTTTCTTGCTGACCTGGTAGATTGGTTTTCCAGGCTCGGATAGGGGAAGCTAAAGCTAAGGCTTCTCTACCAGCAGCTATGAAAACAGTTAGGGTTTCCCTCCCTACATGAGAGTACTCAGACCTGTCACCCATCACCAACATCACCAGGCAGATTCACACTCAGCAACTTTATACAGTGGAATCTTGGTTCTCAAACTTAATTTGTTCCCGAAGACTGTTCTAGAAGCGATTTCTTTGAAAATCAAATCTTTGTTGCTTGAGAGATGTGTGGCTGATTATATGCATATCAGCATGAAAGGGTTGTCAGGTTGAGAACCAAATTGTTCAAGATGGGGGTGTTCGAGAGTGGACGTTTGGCTGTATTGAAACTTGAATGCTCCAGCCACTGTTCCAGGCACTTGCACAGTAATACCTCCATTTTAAGGTTTAACCCTCCCAAACAAAACAAAACAAATATACAAAGAAAAAAAAAACCAAGGCTCAATGTGTGAGTGATTTGTACAAAGCAGTTGTAAACCTCACAGAATGCTACTGTTGTCCTGGGCTTAACTCCTGTTCAAGCCACCCTGCAAACTGCTCTGAAGAACAATCGCAGTCTTGATGTGGCAACAATATATGCACTACCTGACTGTTATAAGCGTGTTTAAGGGATGGTCCAGAGGGCATGCCAAATGCACTTTACTCGGCTCAGGGCCACTCCCAGAAGCTGATCATGTGATAGCACCGTAGTTGCTGACATTTCAATGTTTCCTGTGGACCAGGCAATATTCTAAGTTCCTTTACTCATATGAACTAAGTCAAGCTTCACGACAACCCCATGAGATACTACGGTTCCTACTTTACAGGTGAAGACATTGAAGGCCCAAGAGGTTGTAAGTAACTTGTCTGTGGTCACACAGCTAGAAAGTGACAGTGTATCTGAACCCAGCAATCTAACTCCGGGTCTCATGTCTTAAACCATGTGATGGGAATTATTTCCCATTCTTTGTTTATGTTTGATTTCTCCAGTTCCCAGACCCGGTTACCTTACAGATGCTTCTCTAAAAGACATGTTTTTAGCGTCCTTTTGTCTCCCTCCCTCTCCTCCCCCCACCCCTCCCTCCCTATCTCCCAAACCTCAGCTTTTGGACAGAGCCATTGTCTTCCCCCTACGTCGGTTTGTGTGCATTCTTGTCCAGCTGTCAGTGAAGCCCAGCTCTGTCGGCAGGTCACGATATTTTGCTGTGACTATCATTCCACCATTCTTCCAGGAAAACATCTGCTGCTCCTGTCTTGACACCAATTGTCTACTCAGGGATGGGTTCCCCACTGACTCTGATAAGCTCCTCTAAGCTTTCACTCTCCCCAGGCCCAGACTCCTGGGGAACCCATGACTTCGCCTTCCCTGGCCCTTTCCCCAGTCACCTCTTCCTAAGTCTCCAGTGTTATCTTTATTACTAAATATGCTCTTCACGTGTTCTCTCTATGCTTCCATTGCAAACATTTTCACTTCATTTCACTTAAGTCTCTTGTGGGTGGAGATGGCAATTTTCACTTCAATTTTCTCATTGTTCAAAGGATCTTACATCTTAGCACATCTCTTATCTGACCCATTTAGCACTCTAGAATCTTAGATAATGTGCTCCTGATGGGTTAGAAGGAAGTTATTTGTGCCCAGGTTAACCTATACCTTTCCTTCTAACAGTGGGGTTTAAATGTCCATTGTTCTCTTGCCTTGTTTACACAATTTGCCTCTTCAACACGCATGCACGCGTGCACACACACACACACACACACTTACTTTACTACCTTTAAAACATTTTCCCCCTTTAAAACATTTTAGACTTGGAAAGAAAATGCCCAGGCAGGATAATTGTGGGTTTAGCATGGCTAAATTTTAACCATGTTTATGTACCCTTTCTGGGTGTTTCTGTTACCCAGCCCAGGCAGGGTATGTGTAAACATGAACACAAGACAGTTAAAGGTGTTTCTGGAATGTTGAGAAAGCGCTGTACCTATGCCAAGGCCTGATCATATCCATGCATATGATTGCATCACTTAGTATTCAAAAATCTGCAGTGAGGAAGTATATCCTTCCAGGTCACTCATCTTGTTCCAGGCCATGAAGTAGGAGGGCATTTAGTACATGGTACCTGAAGTGTTTTCACAATTCCAATTCTGCACCTGTTAACTGCCCTCCAACCTGAGCCCAAGCTAACAAGTAAAGGTACCTGACCTATCCCTTCCTCCTGTATACCCACCATTCAGGTCCCTC